TTATCTAAATTACTTTCCTGTCTTGTGTATTCAGTTAATTTTGGTCAGTAGTTTGTCGAATTGTTACAAATCGGATACTTCGAGTCCCTTGTCATTCAAATGGTAGATAAGTACCTTCATTTAATCTTACTCCATTTGTGTAAACTGCTATTATGGTCTCTGATCACAACGTGAAAATGCCGCACAAATGAAATTACCAATTTAATTAGCAGATAGTTTGATGTCGATGTTTATTGAGGTTTACATTCATAAACGACTTCCCGAAACATAAGCAGGTGTGTATGACACCTGAGTGAGAACTGAGATATTTCTAAATCTGTCAGTTTATTTATCATAATAATACTGTCCGAAAATTTTCAGCTATCAACTATAATTGTAGAAATATGTTTCCGATAACTTAGAATATATTCAAGTGGGTTTTGTAAACGTTAGCTTATTTTGTAATGACGAAAGTGCAAGAGTTGTACGCTTTAATACATTGAGCTTGAGGTGGCATATCGCACGGACCGCGCTACTGAGTGGTATTCCTTGTACATTGAGATCAACCAATCAGCAGGATATGTGGTTTCCAGGACAATATTAATCTGTTTATTGTCTGTTTGAAGTAATTCGTCCTTTTTAAATCATAGTTTTGTGATTACCGATTTTTGTTTCAGTTCATCGACTTAAGTCTTGAGCAATCATCATCTCTACAAATCCTAATAGTTTTTTGGTAACAAATATTCTTTTACGAGTTATTCATCAGTAAAGGAGTAAATGCTCAATGTACGATGAATTTCAAGCTTCTGGCCATTGTCCAATCAAATACGGTTGATGACGGAATCCTGTTTCGACGATGTACATGTAATTATCTTGAACCTACTTAACTGATGACTAATGTACAAGAACAGCCAGAGACAGACGGATGAAATTTGAATATTTTCTACTGACATATGCTACTTCTGGCGCGATACACATAAATATGCATAATCAGTGTGGGAGGCGCAGTAATGATATGACTATTGACTGAGAAGGAACCTATGTCTTAAATCACTATCGTAGTCCACGGAGACATATCTACTGTGTATTCTTTACAAATGCATGAGGTCATCGATAACCTTGAAACTACCCAATAATCTGACCACTTGTTGCTTCAGCTGCAATAAAAGTTGATTACTTAGCTGCACATAATTTATCATTTTGTGACAGCTCCTTGGTTCGATAAATGAATTGTTATGGGAGAGGCTCCTTTTAATCATTATATGGTCTATGGGAGTTGGATCTCATTATGCCATCTCTGAATGTGTTTGAAACCTTATTTTGTAATAAAGAACTAGTACTGTCATATTTTGTCATGGTTTTTAGGAAAGACGTTTGAAAAAACAAACAAACAAACCAGAGTAAATAATCTATCACATTGGCATAGTTGAAGTAATATACATAAAGTTCGGAGTTTGATTTATTGGGATTTATTAGAGTGTAAAATGTCTTCAACTTCTGATTTCGCGTTAGTACATAGTCTCTTAATCTGCTGGCTTAGTACATGTAAACAAACTTATTTACAGTTTATCGGGTAAAAAACAACGAGAAACATATTATTTATCAGAATGAGGTTTTGAAGAGATCGTAATAATTTTAACAGTTGAATTTATCAATCGATCTAAGATAGACCAGAATTGAAAATCTGGAAGTACTGGACGGTCGTTTTGCCATAGTATTGGACTTCTCAGAAGTGCGCAAACACGATCCCACACACAGGAGATGAATACAGGACCTTCGGTCTCGCGCGTGAGTGCTTAACCTCTAAACAACTGAGCCGGCATCCAGCGGTGTTAATGTCTAACTAGGACGAAAGGACCGTTCAGTGCATCCAGGTTTTCAATGGTGGTCTAGCTTTGATCGACTCATGAATTCAAACGTTAAAATATATTATTTATCCTAGGTATTTTGTGGTGAATGAAGATAAAAACATCTATTTTACTTGTTTAATTCATGAATATCTAAGAAGCAAAAAGTTCCGATTAAATTTATGCTCCATTTAAGATCTAGTATATAGGTTTTTTTATTGTAAAAAATTACTCATGCGAACTGGTTGGTTGATTAGTTGCATTACAAATATCAGTGATTGAGTTTGTTACCCTCTCCACGTCAGTTAATGAAATCAGACGTAGGCAATTCAGCATTATTAGTATTATTTTACGGTGATCGTTGTTAACTCTTCAATATTACTTAATAACACCTGTTACCACCTGTGAAGGAGCATAGGCCGAACACCAGCTTTCTCCATACAACTAGGTCATGCACAATCATTTAGAGTTCTTCCCAGTTCCTATTCATCCTTCTCATTTCTCCTTACAATTATCGATGCAGTGTGTTGTTCAGCCTTCCTCTTTCCCCTTTCCCTTCAGGATTCCGAATTAGTGCTTGCCTCATGATGCAATTCGGTGATTTCCTCAATGTATGTACCATCCAACACTTCCAACAGCTCCTCCCTAATTTCCACTTCACACAAAAACTGCTTTGTTCTCTACCACAGTACACTGTGTCGCTCATGGTATCCGGTCAATAGACATTGAGTATCTTGTGTAGACAATTGTTTATAAATACTTGTACTCATTCCATGATGATTGTGGTAGTTCTCGAAGTTTCATCTGCATATAGTAGAAGTGTGTTGACGTTCGTATTGAAGATTGTGATTTTGATGTTGACTCGCATACAGTTGATTTGAGTTCCATATATTATTCAACAGAAGGCATGTTGTCCTTACTTGGCCAATCCTTACCCATACTTCTACATCGGATCCTCCTCGTTCATCGATGATGCTAGCTATCTAGGTAGGTAGGTAGGTAGGTGGGTAATGTGAAAGATCGCAACCGATCCAGATTTTCTTCATGAAGTGTGATTGTGGTGGTGCTCTCAGTGTTTTAATTGAGGGTCTTTGTTTTTCGGTTGTGTATGTTGATGCCTATTGATGTAGAGACTGCCGCTATATTGTTTGTCTTGATCTGCATTTGTTTGTGTGTATGTGATAGAAGAGCCAGTTTATCTGTGAAGTCCAACTTGTCTAGTTGTATACAACCTAGATATCTATATCAATGGAAAGAGGATAATCTCATTAAGATCCCAAACAATGACCTTAGTAAATGTAACAACTACAGAGGGATCAGACTACTGTTAGTTTCAGATAAAGTTTTCAACAGGATGTTGTTAAGCCGAATGAAATATACAGTAGTTTCATACATCGGAAACTAACGATATGGCTTTCGTATGAATCATTCAGATATCAACCAACTTGAGACCACGAGAATTATTGTTGAATGATCGAATCAAACGAGATGATATTCCAACTGATGGTTTACGCTGTTTTTTATTCTTTCCTTGTTTCTTTCTTCATATCACTATACGTTATACTCAATACTTTCTTGAACTCTGGAGATCTTCATAATCCAGTCATCAGTTAACAAAGTGAAAAAAAGGAGAGTAGGCGGAGTTGTGTGGCAACGGTCTTCACTTGTGTTGCATCTGTCAGCTACCGTCCATAGACGACTCCACAATTCAATCCTCGTGGGGTTGCGTGTACATAAATATAACAGAGGACATAGGAATGACCATAGGAATATACATCAAAAAAACCTAAGCTTTGTATACAGGAAAAAATTATTCAGTCTTTAATTCTACCCTGGCTTTCTACTTGAATACTAATACTCATTTTAAGACCTTTCTTTCTCTTCTCTTGGAAAGTTCCGAACTTCTATCTTGTTAACATTTGGACTTCTGATTTTAATCTTACGTAACCTGTTTACCAAACTTATTTACTTTTTACTGCACCTGTCCTTCTAATTAGTCATCACTAATTTCACAGATAACGAAAACATTTATATTTACATCCAATTTTAATTCCTGCTGCTACTCTTATGTAACTACTTGTAATAAATCGACTTACCGCCACCTATTAGGGTATCGACTTTCTACTCACTAATAATGCATGTGTATATAAATACATCTTCACTCAACTTGTTTTAGTGGGAATATGCAGTGTAACTGGATAAAATATTAGGTCTTGTAAGAACAGTTGACTGGGAGATTTATACTTACAAAACTTTATTTCTGGTGTTGGACCATGTGTTCCTTGAAGCTGGATTTATAAATAGTTGTGAACTGCCCATTAGGATGGAGTTGTGAAGTCATTGGTCTTTAGATAAGCTGATATAAATGTAAAAGGGTATACATTTGTTTTTCGTATACTCAACTATGTAGAGTGATTTCGTTGTTCAACTTGTTTTATGGCATCGTGGGTTCCCTAAGGCATAACATGAACTTTATTATACGGAATTCATTTTATCTCCATTGACTCATACACTGTGAAAATATACTCACTGTTCGTTGTTATTTTCTTAAAATTAACCTACACAGAAAGAAATTTGCTACAGATATATGAGTACTGAAAAAGTAACAAGAAATTGAACCAGGTAACTTGACGCAAATTGAGAAATGTACCTGTTGTACAGTCATTTGTATAATGAGGTTTTCAATGACATCTGGGCTAAATACACAGCTGAAGGAATAGTCTTGATAAAATGTACCGAATACTTTAATACATTTATAAACATCAATGAAGTATAGGGAACCGTGTATTGCTGGTAGTGCCATTCTACGCATAAGAGAGATAGTGAAGGCCTGTGTTTGGTTAAGGGCAGGATATGTGGTTAGTTGATCAGCTGGCTGGCTAGTTGATGGAGAGTTGACCAAAGATAGAGAGAGAAAATCGAAAGCCAGAACTTAATTTGATCATACCGAGAAAGATCGATAAATTTATGATCAAATATTGTTTATGTCGACAAATAATCAATAACCTCGAAATAAAACAGAATTTCACCGAAACAGTTAAAAATTCTGTAAGATGACCAAAATCAAAAATAATTATTATTAAAACCTTTGGTCATTAGTTTGAGATTTGACTTTGAGGAGTGGAACTAGTTTTACAACCTATCTATATATTAGTTAAGTTTACGCGCCAGTTTGACTAGTTTTCACAAGCACTCTGTTGTGGTACTGTACTGTCATGACTACGTCGTGGGTTTTACAGTGCAAGGACTTATCTAACACTGATTTGGTTCATATCGCCAAACTTGCTGAGCAGGCTGAACGATATGATGACATGGCGGCAGCTATGAAGCGTTATACCGAGGCTTCGGGGAATTTAGGGAACGAAGAACGGAATTTACTGTCGGTGGCATATAAAAATGTTGTGGGTGCTAGAAGATCAGCATGGAGAGTGATACATGGAAGTGAGATGAAAGCGGTAAATGACTGTACCAAGAAACAAATAGCAGAAGAGTACCGTATTAAAATGGAAAAGGAGTTGAACACTATCTGTAATCAAGTTTTGGTAAGTCGAACGCGAAGTGGTAACGATGTTTCTAGGCTCTACTTGAGGATTATCTGCTTCCAAATGCAAGTCCCGATGACAGCAAAGTTTTCTTTCTGAAAATGCAAGGTGACTACTACCGGTATCTGGCTGAGGTTGCCACTGATGATGCTCGAACAGAAGTGGTACAGAAATCATTGGATGCCTACACGAAAGCTACTACGGCTGCCGAAAATTTACCTACCACTCATCCTATCCGTCTTGGTTTAGCTCTTAACTTCTCTGTGTTTTATTACGAAATACAAAATAATTCTGCTAAGGCGTGCGATTTAGCTAAATGCGCCTTCGATTCAGCAATAGCAGAACTAGATCAGCTTCAAGATGATTCCTACAAAGACAGCACACTAATTATGCAGCTTCTAAGAGACAATTTGACGGTAAGATTTCTATTAGTTTTTCTAATATGACTAATTAGTTGTGGGCCAGTGACCAAACAGCTGAGGGAGATGTTGAAAATGACGGCTAAACTATGTTCTGTAATATTTATTATAGCCCTCATGTCATACAAGATCTATGTCAATTTTCTGATTGTTTACCGTTATTTTGTACTTACTGATGGGAGTTACGGTTCTTTGGTGTAAGTTTCTCATGAGTTATTATGTAAAACCGTGTACCACAGTTAACTGACATGTAGGGTTGCACAGATTGATCAGTTACTAGTCAGTGTTAAAAGGATCGTAAAACATAAAGCTTGGAGCAGGCTATTCGTGAGTTAGTTGGATGTTCGAGAATTGTGGGTAAAATAAAGGATAGAAAGCAACTTAGAACTAACAGGCTTCCATTACTTTCCTTCTCCGTGGTTTTAGCATGTGCATGTTAATTCGTGGACTTATAATGAACACCGAATTCTGTTGCGTGTAGATTTCTGGTTTGATTTTCTTAGCTGGTTTGCCTGACCCTACATATAGCCTTAAGGTCTACTGTCTGGGAGGTCCTAACTACAGTTGACTGTGTGTTCGGGACAGGACCAGTATCGACCTCACGTTTTTTTGGAGAACTTTCCAAGGTAACACACGGATTTAGGCGTTTATGTATAGAGTGCATCTTGTGCTACCAAGATAACTTAAGGTAATAAACTGCGTGCATTGTGTTGACGTAAAGAGAGTTTATCATTAAGCACCTTCGTGTCAGTTTAAGAACCTCACAGAGTAGGTTTTTCTGGTTTCGGACGTTTGTTGTGGAAGTAGCCTTGGAGAAAAGCAGGACAGTCATTGGCATCTACACTGGGCGACTTGGGGTCCGGGTGATTGTCGTATCCAGTGGTCAGGAACTTTGACGACGGTTAAAAGTCGTTTGCAGTGTTATGCTTGCATTCACGTTATCCTATTCTAAGTTATAAGCTTCTGAATTTCCCATACATTCTTTCCAGCATAGATTTTCTTGAGTCGTGTCTTGGATGTCTAGTCTGCTATTGCTTTTAATACTGCTACTACATCTACTTTCAGATTTGCCCTAACAACTCATGCTGTGCTAAAGGTTTATGGTACTGATGTGCATATGTACTAATATTTTGCGCTTCGGTGATAGACATCCTAGTTGATTTGGACATTCGTGTCCTAGAAATTCTTATTACAATATTGCCTATTTCCCAATGAACCTGAAACGATGACCACTCTAATTAAGTATTCGCCGGGCTCCCTCTAACTCATTATTAGTGTTGCTAGTGCAAATCCATTCAACCGTAAGAGTCGAACGTAGAATAAGTTTATTTTCTGACTCAAAGCCACCTAACTGTAAGAATGCTTGGTAGTGACGGCAGTTTTTGTAATGCCACGATGGATAGCTGTGTGGTGATAAACTGGAATTCGATCGATTTCCAGGAGTCTTTGTGTGTGTGTTGAGGAGTATCTTTTGCGTTTTGTGGTTAGTGACAGGTCTGGTGTCCGGGGGCTTATATTAGTGGCTTTGAATGGTCCTAGGGTCGTTTCTAGTGGCACAGTTACATTTGCTACCTGTCACTTCGAACCCAAGTTCTCTGTATCACTTTCTGTTTCTTGCCTAATACTGAAACTGTTACTACCCCTCCTACTCTGGGATTTTTCTCGGTAATTTTATCTGGCTGTGCTAACCTGGTTTGTTAACACTAAGTGTTGGAAACGTGTGTCAGATTGCAAATAGCTGAGTAGTTGACGTAAATGACCTACTTGTAGCCAGTAAAACCGAAGCAACATCTAACTTACCTGGAGCACTGAATGATTGAATGAGTACAGGTTCCCCATGAATTAGTAAGTGAGTTTAGGACGGTCCATCGTTCTTTATGTAAGTTACTAAAGAACCTAGATGACGTACAGAGTACCGACGACTACTTGCTGTTTGACCTGTCCGAAAGCTACATGGTTTCTTGGGAGTCATCCCCAACTTTACTATTCTACAGTATTGATGGGTTACTTACAAGACTGATCATGAACACTTCGTCCTTCACCTGAAATTAAGCAGTCATTTGAAGCTATAATGGACAAGCTAAACACATAAGCAGTACTAGCAGTTATGACTGACCAGACGCATTTAGCCGTACTAAATAAAGAGAATAAAAAATTGGAAGCACTGACCGCTCCCGAACACTACACTGCATGCAAACGGCGACTATTGTCGTCCTACTTGGATGTGAAACACTCAATAGATTTTAGGAGAAAATAGCTTGACGGTACTTACTGCCTGCGAATTGTTATCGGAGGCTTCAGTAAAGATTCATGATAAATAGGGTCCGCGCGAAATACACCAGCTTGAGTTCATTTCACAATTCTTAGTAAAAGGTATGTAAAAGGTGATAAAAACCACATTAGGCTCATCAATTTCGATAGCCCATCTGACTCAATAATATGTTAGTCCTCTACATATGTATCACGGATTAATCCTCTACATAATCTAGGACTTATCAGGTATTCACAACGCGGGATTGAAAGTCAGATGCGAAATGTTTGGAATATCATGTAGATCACTAACATAGATGATCTGAGCTGAATGAGTAGGGGCGTACTGGAGTAAGGAGGGAGTAGTGTGACGAAACGGGTAGCTTTGAAGTTGCACTTAACGTGGATTGCCGTTTCATCGTACCACGGTACTATGGCTGCTCTGAAGACCGTGTAACGCAAAGGATGTTATTAGAGGAGTGTATTAGAAAGAGTAGGTTGAGGAATAAAGTGCGACCATCACCGCATTGGCCAGTCCATTGCGTGTAATCAACTGATGCGTGTTGGCTGTCTCTGAACTTGAGGAGGATGGGTGAACTTTCAGGCATTTAGTAACACGACCGCCGGGTGATTTGGTAAGGGTCCAGTGACATTTCATTTGCTCTACACGTGTGTCAAACAAATGTATTGCGAGACCGAGAGAGTAAGCATTCGAACTGAGTTGGGAAATTAGCATACCACCCGGTTCAGTGAGTAGGCTTATGCCTTAGTTGTATATAGTTCAAGCAAACAAACACTGAATAAAATAAGGAAGTAAGTGCAGGCAAGCTGACTAATTCCACCTAAAACGGACGATATGGTCAATTGGATTAATATGGACACGAATTTTATATGTATGGAAGGTCAGACTTGCTCGTGAGTATCATGAGATTATCGGAAGGATAGCGATGACTCGCTCGTTACGTGCTCTATGGTTTTATTTTCATTCAAACAGTGATATATGTTGATATACGCGAATCAGTATAGTCTAAACGAAGCGAAATCCTGTGTTCATTCTGATTTCTAACTGACTTGTCTGTGGGGTTTTGGAGAAGCGTTGATGTTCTGTGTTTATCGTATTGAATAACGTTCAGGCGTAATACAACACATCGTTCAACTGATAGCTGTAGTCGAGTTGCCTTAGATTCGGGAGTTATACGGCTAGCTCCTTGGGTGAAAATCGATTTGACGTTAGTAACAAAAACAAAAACTCTCTCTGGGGCTTCTGACGGTCGCAATCTTGGATGAGCGTGAGAGCTGTCCATGGGATAGCGTCCTCATCTTGTAGAAGACTAAAACACTAACCAGAAGAAATAATGCAAATTATTTAAGTTCCACTCTGGGAGTTAGGAGGTCTTCATTTAGAAGAGTTCTGACGTCCCTTCATGAATTCCGAATTCCTTCGGAAGTCAGTAGGCTGATGTCCTGACATCCGGAGCAATCATTAATTTAAGTACATGTAATGTTCGTACAAGGTGCGAGACCACGAAAGTCATCCAAGTAGCTGCAGAGATGAGAAGATACAAAATGGAGCTGCTTGGAATCAGTGAAACACGTTGGACCCATGTTGGACAACAAAGACTAGATTATGGAGAGCTGCTGATATACTCAGGTCATGAAAAATAAAATGCTCCACTTACACAAGAAGTTGCACTGATGTTATCCAAACAAGCGCCAAAAGCACTTACAGGATGGGAATGTCATGGATCCAGGAGCATCAAAGCCTCCAAAACAAAGAAAGGGCATTAAATTGAACGTCATCCAATGCTATGCGCCTACCAACGATCACAATGAAGACGTTAAAGATCAATTCTAGGATAGGCAGCAGTCAATCGTTGAGAAATGCCCATTGTGATGGGAGACCGAAATGCCAAGAACCAAGAGGGGAGCTAATATAACCTCAGATCGTCACTTTCTGGTCACCAAGATGAAGCTGAGACTGGACAACATCACAAAAGTTTAGTACGGCCTTTCTTTTGGGATACTGACAGACTCAGCAAATTCAAGATAGTCCTAAGCAATAGGTTGCAGGCCTTTCATGGGCTGCTCAATGGAGAGGGAACTTCTATAGAGAACAACTGGGAGGCAAACACTTGAACATGTCATGAGGTTCTAGGCAACAAGGAATGGGTTATTGTTGATACACTGGATAAGATTCAAGAAATAAGGAACAAGAAGGCAGCAATCAATATCAGCCGAGCAAGAGCGGAGAAAGCCAAGGTGCCGGCTGAATACACAGAAGCATACGAGCAAGTGAAGAAGAGCACCAGAGCCAACAAACGTAAATATATGGAAGATCTAGCAATGACGGCTGAAAAGGCTACAAGAGAAGGAAATATGAGAATTGTATGACACAACAAAGGAGCTCTCTGGAAATTATTACAGACCGGAACGATCAGTGAAAATCGAGGAAGGCAAAGTAATCACCAACATTGAAGAACAGCGAAACAGGTGGGTAGAACACTTCAAAGAACTCTTGAATTGACCGGCCCCACTGAACATTGGAGCAAAAACCACGGACCTCCCAATCGATGTTGGCCCACCAACAATTGAAGAAATCAGCATGGCCGTCAGACAAATCAAGAGTGGCAAAGCAGCAGGACCAGACAACATTCCATCAAAGGCTCTGAAAGCAGACGTAGCAGTAACTGCATAGATACTCCATATTCTCTTCAATAAGATTTGGGATGAGGAACAAGTACCGAAAGACTGGAAAGAAGGACTCCTGATCAAAATACCGAAGAAAGGCGATCTCAGCAACTGTGATAACTACAGAGGCATCACTCATCTCTCAATACCGGGAAAAGTCTTCAGCAGGGTATTGTTAAACAGAATGAAGGACTGCGTAGACGCCCAACTTCGTGACCAACAGACAGGATTCCGTAAGGATCGATCGTGTACAGACCAAACCGCACCTCTACGAATCATTGTGGAACAATCAATTAAATGGGATTCATCACTTTACATCAACTTCATTGACTACGAAAAGGCATTTGATAGCGTGGACAGAACAACACTATGGAAGCTTCTTCGATACGACGGCGCACCTCAGAACATAGTCAATATCATACGGAATTCGTATGATATGACCTCCATGCGGTGTCATTGATGAACGCAGTGAATCTGATGCAGATGTAAAGGCGCGGATAAGCAAAGCAAGAGCAGCATATCTACAACTGAAGAACATCTGGAACTCAAAACAGCTGTCAACCAACACCACGGTTAGAATTTTCAATACAAATGTCAAGACAGTTCTACTGTATGGGGCGGAAACCTGGAGAACTACGAAACCCATCATCCAGAAAATACAGGTGTTTATTAACAATTGTCTACGCAAAATACTTCAGATCCGTTGGCCGGGCACTATTAGCAACAACGTACTTTGGGAGAGAACAAACCATATCCCGGCGGAGGAAGAAGCGCTGGAATTGGATAGAACACACATTAGGGAAAGCACAAAGCTGCGTCACAAGACAAGCTCTCACATGGAATCCTCAAGACCAAAGGAGGAGAGGAAGACCAAAGAACACATTACGCCGAGAAATGGAGACAGATACGAAAAGAGTGAACAGCAATTGGATAGATCTAGAAAGGAGTGCCCAGGACAGATTGGGTTGGAGAATGCTGGTCGGCGGCCTATGCTCCATTGGGAGTAACAGGCGTAAGTAAGTAACAAAGGCAAGATCTTTATTGAGATAACTAGGATTTTTAAATGGTAAATATGGAAATGTAACTTAAAAAGCATTATGTATGGCTTGCGACACGTCTCATTGTCAAGCACATTGAAATGCAACCAATGTTAAATGCAAAACTGTTTATATGTATCATTACCAAGGTTTGATTTGTTAATTTCAAATAAATTGAGCATTGGGTAGATTGTTATAAATAAGTAATATATTTGTAGTATCCCAATGAGTAGAAAATTAGATTTTCTTTTTAGTTGAAATATTACTATCATTTTACTTTCATATACTTTATTCTGAAAAATAAAATTTGGATGTCGTATGAAATTTCTTTTACGTAGAGATTTATATCATTTGTAAATATAAGTCATTGTCATAATTTTCCTTGACTGACTTATTGATCGGAAAACTATCCTCATTCCTTCAGGTGCATGTAATCAATATTGATTCGGTCAGTGTTTAAATAACATATTTTCTATTGCTGTGATTCCTATAACGTGTTTGTAGGTATTTTAGTTACTTTCGATGTTAGTTTGCAATCTACGGAAACAAATGTTTATGACCTTTGGAGCATACAACAAGAAAAATAAAGTTAATGAATAGACTAGCTTAGGTTATCAGCAACTTTCTCAACACTCAGTAAATTTGTTGTACCCGGAACTATTTAAGTTTAACTTTCACGAAAGATTTCATTTCACTTGTCTGAAGTTGTCCACAACTTCCTTGTGTAACGGTATGCTGGATGGAAGGACATAAATTTATCAAAGGTTAGGACTTGGAATGAAATGTTTGTTAAAGATTACATTCATATTCAGTATTCACCTACTAAACGAACTGGGAAATGGTCAAAGTGTCGGGAATAACGTTCACATTATAACCGTTGACTATAACCAACTCATCCAAGAAATCTAGTAAACTGTCCTTACATGCAATAACATATCACAAGGGTACTGAGCATAAACTGCCTCGCAAGCTGAAAATAATTTTAAAATCTTGAATAAATATAAACTTTGATTTATGTCTTGGTAAAGAAAAAAGAAAATAAACATTTCACAAAACATACTGAACAGATTTCGACTGAAATATCATATAATGCATAAGATTTAATGGTAAAATTAGTATCCACTCGGTTTGCATCCAAAACGAAAATGATACTATACTTCCCAGTCGTTAATTTTCTTGTAGTCATTTGCATCATAGAAATTCCCAATAATTAACTTTAACTCAGCTAATCTCCTCTAGTATAGTGATGGTATTTATGGTTGGAGTCTGTAGTAGAAATCCTTTGTTTACAGTTCATTAAAAATAATTTGGCTTTTAGGTTATTCGACATTCAGTGTTGATATTTCGACCGATTAATGGATGAAATGGCGAACTTTCCAGAAGCCGTAAATAAAAGTGAACTGTTTATTATGTAGTGAATCTACTTCTTCTTGTGCATAGTCGAAGCGAAAATAACAGTATTTTTTCTTCGTAAGAAAACATAAGACCATAGCTGCTTATAGGGTTCGTGTCAGAATTATATGCCACTGTGGTGGATATATAATGGAATTCTTATGTGGTTAAGGGCTTTTTTATATTACTGATATATACTTTCTGTTAACTTAGATTCTGTGTTTGTTTTTCAAAACTAAATGTGAATATAGATTAATTTGAAATTAGTTCACTTCTCATACTTGCATCATTTGAATAGTGATTGCGAATTAGAAATCATTAGATAATTGTTTGGTTCTGGATAAAGACTTCTTTCAAGTATACACTAATAACGATATCTGGGATCGTAAATACCACCTTTGGGTTTTGTGAGAGGGATGATATCTGTAGACCATTAAGTTGGTGTCTAAAAAAGAGGGTTTTGAGGTTGTTAGTAGCGAACAGAAAGATTGCTTAAAGGTTGAAACCCGTAATATTCGTGGTAATTTAAACTTTCCATATTGTAGGCATGTGGTTACCAGTCAAAGATCACTAGATATTTGTTTCATTCTAGTTGAGTTATCTTCGGTTACAAGCCTCATAACTCATATACCAGTAAAGTTGTTTATATAGGTCGTTGATTGTAATCCTTGAGTGCATCTCTAAAAGTTATTTTCGAAAAAGTAATGTAGATTAGGTATCATTTCTATTCCCAAAGTTTATTTGAGACTTTGCTTTTGGAATAATTTACAATATTTACTGATAGAGAAGACTTGTACTTAGGATGGATGGCTTTAATGTACTAGATGCAGATTAATATATCATAATTCCAAAATTAAATCTCTGATCATGTAGTCTAAACAAATGAGAATCATTTTATTGAGTGGTAATAAACCATGAGTAAAGCTGTAATACAACATTATTTTAATGTCCGATTTGCTTCCATACACTCAGTAATTTTTGCAAAAACAGAGATTAACACTGACAAAGTTTTGTCGAATGCAATTCAGAATACATTCTTCATGAATATAAATCTGTTGATTTATACTTGGTAGTTCACTTTTCTTATTTTGAGGATATAAATACTTCCATTCATTTAAGTTGCAGTAAATACATATTGTAATTATGGATTGCAACATACATCGTCTGAGTAATAAGAGATTATCGTTTGATAAATGATACAAATAACAAGACAATAAGGTGGAGAGAATTATCTATGTAAACCGTCAGTAATCACACTGTACATTTTGCAAATAGTTCCTCTTCAACAGCTTATAGTAAACCTTATTTAAGAGGTGTATATTCACTTACACGCAGTAAGCTTAGTGGATATGAAGTGAAAAGCTGATTTGTGATTCTACAGTTAGAATTTACCAATGCTTGGTTTATACGACACATTTGAAACAATCACACAGTTGTTGATGATGATGATCTTCACTGAATTAAAACCGCACTTCTCAGTATCAGTCGGTCCGTCTTTATTTTCGAACGATTTCAATTCTGACTGACGTCAATTACATTCAATTGAGCAAGTGTATTGACCAATGGCAAGATGCACATATTACTTGGATCCTGTGAACTGAGTTACGAAACATGGTCACCGGTGAAAGTGGACTCAAATCTCAACATGATTTAGCTGACATTTGTCCAAAATTATAACGAACACCTCTGTAGGAACATTAGATCGTGTAGCCGAAATAGAATGATAAAACTGTGGCTCATTTCCTCACATTCATCCGATGCCTAAAGCTTATTAAAACTTTGACATTCCTAGATAATTGTCTTTCATTTCTCCATACAGCTCTCAAAGAACTACTATTAAACCATTTAAGGTGCACAAGTTTCGAATCCCATGGAAGAGCTCATTTCAATAAAATTATTCGCCGGGACAAGTAGAAGTTTAAGGAATTTATCCTTGAATTGCAGATAAAGCCGTCAAGTTTAATTTTAGTGATCAACTTCAGGTGTAGCAGCGTGGTCGATCGATCGCAATGATTACCATACTAAAACTGGGAAGAAAGCATATGCAAATGCCGAAGTGTTCCTTTCATGATGGTGGGAGTGCGTTTATTAACTATGAGGCAGTGCATTAGATTGCTTTTTCGACACTATGGTGTACCTGAGAAAATCATCAACATCTTATGGAACTCATGAGACGGACTGCACTGAAATGTGATGCATGGGGGACAGCTAACAGACTCATTCCAAGTGAGGACCTATGTCAGATAAGTCAGCCTACACTCACCTCTTCTCTTTCTCATTCTGGTGGTCGAATGGGTTATGAAGACCACGACATCTGAGCGGATGCACTAACTACAACGGACAGGAGGCAATGTTACTAAAATTATCGCCGTGAAAGTCTATAAAATATACCTGTTACTTAAATAGTAAAATAAATCTTGTGTTAATATTGTACTGTTAATCATAGGTTGTCGAATTCTGTATCTGCGTCTTGTTTTATTTTGGAACTCAAAACAATCGTATGCAAGTCAACATCAAAATCACAATCTTCAATACGAACGTCAACACACTTCTACTATATGCAGATGAAACTTCGAGAACTACCACAATCATCATGGAATGAGTACAAGTATTTATAAACAATTGTCTACACAAGATACTCAATGTCTGTTGACCGGATACCATGAGCAACACAGTGTACTGTGGTAGAGAACAAAGCAGCTTTTGTGTGAAGTGGAAATTAGGAAAAGACAAATCAAATCAAACCTTGGTAATGATACCTATTAGGAAAAGACGTTGGAAGTGGATAGGACAAATCTTCATATTTATAGAATTACAGATAGCTTTGGGCTTCTGAAAAGTCATAAAGCCCTTCTAAACATAGTAGCAGGATAGGTAATCATACAATCAGAAATGTGACATTTTACTTTCTGGATCGTTCTGAGAAACTTCTATTGAATGCTGATTAAAAAAATATGTTTCGTGGCGTATTAGGGCTTTTTTCGAGGAATTTTCTGAGTTTCCGCAGAAATACAAAGCAGAATATCGTTCTGACTTTCCCCAAGAATAAACACTATCTCGTGCTCATTACAGTAAGTTTATACCTACCAGAATAATTTATCACCAATTAATTGTAAATTTATTAGCGTATTAAACCAATGTGATCCGAATAGAGAACAATTAACTTTTTCATACTAGAAGAGTTTTGTTGATATTATAGTAATATCAGTGGTTGAGATCATGAGTCAATTGAAGCTATACCACCACGGAATACCTTGAAGCACTGTACGGCCGTTTCGTCCTATTGTGGGACTCCTCAGCAGTGCAAATCCACGACTACGCCTCGAGAGATTCGAACCCAGGATCTATCGGCCTCGCGCGCGAGCACTTAACCACTAGACCACTGAGCCGGCATTCAAGAGTGTTAATTTCTAACTTCAACCGATCCTCGAAATTGAGCGACATATCCACCAATGTCTTCACTGAGTTACTATCTCACAACAGACCCGGTTGGAATCCACTGGTCACTGCTTCTCACTAGAATTCCAGGAAATACCTCTTGAAGCCAGTCACTAGTGAGGAGTACCACAACAGGACGAAACGGCCTTCCAGCGCTTCTAGGTTTTCCATGGTGGTCTAGCTTCAATCGACTCATGATCTCAACCATTGAAATTATTTTTTTAATTTAGGTATACTATTTTTAACGTTTTAAGTAGTTCAAATAGTAATTTCATATTTTAATGATTTGCTCATTGTAAAAGTCTGACGAATTCACAAAATATGTTTTAAACATTTTATTCTCATTTTCCATTTTCAAGAGTAAAATTATCACGTTTTGGAAGCAATAGTGATGACTGATAGTACGATAATTTTTAGAAAGTGTTGAAGACACTTAGATTACTGACAATTTATGTTTTCCCAATAATCCATACATTGTCAGACATTGAGCTCATCATTTGACTGTACCCCAATTGCACACAATATACTGACATGTGAATCACAGCGCTGACTTATGAAAGTAATAAACTTGTGCTCCTTATCTACAATGAGGATGTGGAGATTGTCAGTTATATTCATGTTCTCAAAGGCATAACACGTACAACAAGTTTTATTGATAAATAAAATACTATTTGTGTACTTTGTTTTTGGATGTTACATCACCATGAAATGAAATGATAAAGAGCTATTACACAGGAGTTAAATTTTTCTGTTGGGATTACCATAAACTGCACCATATCAGTTAATATATTTGGTAGGATAGGATCAACCTATCCATTTCAGAACAATCTCAGTGAAAATTAGTCGGCATACATACCATGAAACTTTATTTTCACGTAAAAAATCTACATTTTTAAAACCAGCCAAGTCAATCGGTCAGAATCATCGGAAAAGCGAATCGAGATCAACTTGAGACAAACGAGTATCAGTAAGTATGAAGGTGGAGCGAATTCCTTCTACCAAAGTACACTATTCTCTATCATAAAATAAGGAGACAACTTGTTAGTTAATCAGCTTTTACCACTTGCTAATATACGCTTATTTAATAGAATAAGTCTAAGATGGTATTAGTTATTATCGATTATCAAAAATCTAGTAGAATAAATTTCGTATGAGCCAATAAAATGTGGAAAAATATACTATGCCAGTGTGAACAGTTTAATGTCTATTTGTAAATCTCGTGAAACATGTTTGTAATGTAACTGACCTTTCTGTGTCTTAGCTTCTTCTCAAGTACCCCACATTCATTTTCGAGATAATACACATGTTTGCAAAGTGATTGTAGTAGAAAAACAAAAATAACCAACTATTAGTTTGATTGTTTCACTTAACATGTTACAAAACTATACTAACTTATCAGGTCGTTTTTCCGTTCATTCGCAGTGTACCATAGTAAGTGCTTACATCATTTACCAAACCAGTTGACATGAGTTTTTTATTTAGTCTTCAATTTTTTAAAGTCACAGTGCATTTCCTTTCATTGTACCTTCTGTATATTTGATATTTGACATTAAAAATGTTTAAATTTCGTGAATCAAATGACCGTGTACTACGGACAACTACTGCCGATCTGTTTATCGCGGAAAGTATCTAAATATATTGAGAAGAGTTGATAAGTGAACAGACAAACACTTCAAGAATGATGGGTGAGTCTGAAAAGTCATTTATGAAGAAAATATCGACCAAAAATGTTGAGATGATAAAAGCTGGAGGAAATAATGTCTAATTAAGGCATAGAGTTCGTTTGATTTCATTACTACTGACTGAATAGAACGCT